TGGAGGGCCGGGCCGGGCCGGGCCGGGGAGGAGCGCGGGCCGCCAGCCTGGGGGTTTTCCCCGCGCGAGCTGCCCGAGAACGCACACGCGTTGGCCGTTTCACGCTTCCCGGGGGTGCGAGTTGGGGAGAGTAACGTGCTTTTGTGGCGGTTCTCTTCTAGGTGCGCTGGGATCTGCAGCTACGAAGGGGAGGGTGGCATGTGTTCCATCCGGCTCAGCGAACCTCTTTTAAAGTTGAGGCCCCGGAGGGATCTTGTGGAGGTATTCTTCGCATAAACCCGCTGCTTAGCTCCGTCATTTGCAAATGCTTCTCGATGGCTTAGACCGCTGTGCCTTAGCCTGTCCACAGCACTTTACTTTTCATTTTTCCTTACTCGATGTGACTCTAGAGACGTGGGGCACCAGTCCGGGTGAGGCACACGGGTCGTCTGTGTGCGGGTGAAGGTGGGGTCTCCGACCGGCCCTCGCGGCCCCTGGGTTAGGGCCGGGTGCCCATCATGTTGCCAGTTTCTGCCCCCACCCCCTCGCGACGTCCCGCTACTTCTGGTAGCCTGTACCTGTTTTTAAAAACCACTTTGGGGGCGACCCTTCGGGTCCCCTCCCACTGTGGGAGCTTCTCTGTCCTCTCAGTAAATCCTGCTTTAAAAGAAGGAGTAGTAAAATAAAATAAAAAATCACTTTGCCCTCAGTGCAGACTTGATCTGTGGGTCAAATAATAAATACCTTGTTTTTCCAGTGCTTCGTAGAAAAGCTTCTAGGTATATTATCTCTGTTGATTTTTACATGTTCCCTGCTTATGTTGTGTGCTGTTATTTTTATCTTTATAAATGAGGAAATTAGATTGAAATCAGGTTAAGTAAATTGCCTTGAGTTATATATTTAAAAGCGGACAAAAACTTAGCCTCTGAGTCTTCTTTTCAGACACACACATTTTGATTCCTCTCTGTTTGACAGCCACACTCTTGTCTGGGACACCCAGCTGGAGCTGGCAGTGCAAACCAGAGTGAGGGCACACTCCATATCTAGAGTTGGTGGTCAGCCCTATCAAAATGAAGCAGTGAGAACTCCAGGCTTACCTGAGTCAGGTTTAGTAGATGCCTGAAGTTCCCCAGGATGCACTTAGTGTGTCTTGTACTGTCCCAATTATATCACTTGGCAAATATACAGAAAAGTCGTGGTGAAGGTTCTCTGCATGGGGTGGGAAACATAAAACATGCTTGGAAATATGAGGGTGCTGTTTTTAAGGATAATAAAAAGCAATGGGGTTTTACAACAATATGAGTATACTTAACACTACAGAACTGTACACATGAAAATGGTTAAGGTGGTTTATCTTAATATGCTTTTTTAACTATGCATATATTTGAAAGTAGATAGCTACTAAATGTAAAATGGTGCAGTAGATTGTACTGTACCATTGGTTGATTAATGAAAAAGAAAGAAAGCCGGGCGTGGCGGCTCACGCCTGCAATCCCAGCACTTTGGGAGGCAGAGGCGAGAGGATTGCGTGAACTCAGGAATTTGAGACCAGCCTGAGCAACATGGCTAGACCTTGTCTCTACAATTTAAAAATTAGCCAGGTGTGGTGGCATGTGCCTGCGGTTCCAGGGGCTTGGAAGGCTGAGGTGGAAGGATTGCCTGAGCCCAGCAGGTCAAGGCTGCAGTGCTGTGAGTGCACCACTGCACTCCAGCCTGGGCAACAGAGTCAGACTCCCGTTCAAAACAAATTGAAAAAGAAAGAACAAAGTCCAGCTGCCATAAAAAGAAAGGCATAAACAAAATATTAGTAATTAAATGTAAATGGACTAAAGAGACTCCATTAAAGACATGAGATGACACGCTAGATTAAAAGGGACACGCGTACATTAAAGACATACATATTTTAAATTTAAAAATGAAATTTCTATCGTTGAAACGACAGAAAGCTATTGTGGCTGCATGGGTTGGGTATTATCTGAAATGCTTGGGACCAGAAGTGTTTTGGATTTTTTTTTTTTATGTTGGAATATATGCATTCTACATACCAGTTGAGCATTCCTAATCTGAAAATTCAAAATCTGAAATGCTCGAATGAGCATCTCCTTAGAGCATGACCTTTGAATGTCATGTAGGTGCTCAAAAAGTTTTGGATTTTGGAGCATTTCAGGTTATAGATTTTCAGATTAGGGATGCTGGACGGGGGGGGGGAGTTTTACTAGAAGAAAAGCGAAACGTTTTATAACAATGAAGTAGCCTGTTAAACGACAACACATAGTGACCCTAACAGATAACATAGCTTTACATTTTTTGAGACTTTAATTAGAAGCAATCAATCTACAGTTATAGTTGAAGATGTTAACACTTGTTTCTTAGCAACTCAACAAGTAGAAAAATATAGTATTCGTTTTTTTAAAGTTCATTGAAACAATTTGATTAACCAAATTAGCCTTGCAAGAAGTTCTCCTTGGAAGAGTAGTTGCTTAATGAATATGTATTACATAAATGATTAACTAAAAATTTGAATGATTTTTAAAGCAGCAGTTGAAAATGGGAAATGTGTGGTCATGGTATCAGTAGAGCGTTTCCCTTTGGCAGAAGGTTATAGTATCAAATTAGGTAAGAAGGACAGGAGGAGAAATCTGACTGTGGTCTGTATTTAAAGTACAGTTGTCCACTTTATAACAGCATTGCAGACCCCACATGCAACGGTGGTTCTATAAGATAATACCAGAATTTTATGGTGCCCTTTACTGTACCTTTTTTCTTCTGTATGTTTAGATGCACAAATACCATAATGTTATAATTGCCTGCAGTATTACAATAACATGCTGAACAGGTTTGTAGCCTAGGAACTATAGGTAGTACCATGTAGCCGAGGTGCGTAGTGGACCGTACCATCAAGTTTGTGTGAGTACACTCTAGGATGTTCGCACAAGGACATTCACTCAAAGATGCCCTTCTCAGAATGCATTCCTGTTGTTGAGTGAGGCGTGACTGTAAGCTGAATCATAATGGAATTCAGAAAAGGAAAAGACTTTTATCTCATTGAGGAGGTCAAGAAAAGCTTTATAAATGTAGATTTTATTTCTGTGACTGTCACCACTCTTACTGCTCATTCTTTATGGAGTACCTATTGCATGCCAACCTTTAGACTAGATTAACTGTAGCCTTTACCACAGCCCTCGCAAAATCGGGATATTCTGACCAGGCGTGGTGGCTGAAACCTATAATCCCGGCACTTTGGGAGGCCAAGGCGGGAGGATCACGTGAGCCCAGGAGTTCATGGCCAGCCTGGGCAACTTTGTGAGATCCAGTCTTTACAAAAAATCAAAACATTGCCCTGGCCTGGTGGCATCCACCTGTAGTCACAGCTACTCAGGAAGCTGAGGAAGGAGGATTGCTTGAACTCAGGAGTTTGAGGATGCGGTGAGCCATGATCGTGCCACTCTACTCCAGTCTAGGTGACAGAGTGAGACCCTGACTCAAAAAAAAAAAAAAAAAAATAGAATATTTCATTTTAGGGATGAAAAGCAAGTTGTAACTTGTCCCAGGTCTTCTGCATATGATCCTGGGTTTAGGCCCTAGTTTCCCAGGCTCTAAAGTTCTTGTTCTGTTCCCTATACCACTCAACTCATCAATACTGCTTTATAACTACTGCTAATGAAAATGTGGAGGAGAGTCTTAACGGACGAACTGGACTCTTGACAAACGGAGATAGTGGAGGAGGCTGCTTTTGGCAGAAGGGGAATAATGTGAAGAAAAGTGAGGTCAGAATACTTGTGGCCTATTTACGGCTGGAAGTAGTTGCTTTTGGCCAGATAGGATGCTAATGGGAAACAGGTGTGTTGGGACTGTTGTATCGATTGATCCTTGAGTCAAGCCTGAGTATGGAACATGGTAGATATGCAAAAATAGAAATGTTTGGTATGGTAGCGTGTCTTATTCTCAAGAAGTGCTTACTGTTTAATTAAATTGAACCAAAAATTAGGAACTTAAATTTGTTTCTCTTTTATGAGAGTCATTACATGAGACTAAAATTCACTGATGCCAGTATAGTTCTTCTGATAAATTTTTTTTTTAATTATACAGGATTATAAGAAAGGCATACTTTTGAAGATCTTCATGATTTTCTCTTTTAAAAAATGTAGTTGTGTTTTTTAGGACAGAAAATTCCAGCAGACTTCAATAACTTTTATTGATTTTGCCGGTGAACTTCTGCAAGGTCTCATACTTGGTGTGGAATGAGGAATAGGTTTTGCTTTTGGTTTGTTTTTAAAATGCACATGATTCAAAACCCCACAACTATAGAAGGATCACAGAGATACCTTGTTCAGTACCTGTCTCTATCCTGATCTCCTCCGCCTACTGTAGAAACTGGTCTCAATTTCTAATTCTTCCATTGTTTTGTTTTGCAAATATTGTAATACACTTTTCCTCCTCCCTGCCATATGTTTCTTACACAAATATTGTGTACACTCTTCTGTGTTTTGTCTTTTTCATTAAAACAGAACATTGTGTAGCTTTTTTGAGTCATTTCATTGATATCCTTTTTTCCTTTTTATTTTTTGAGTCAGTCTCACTCTGTCACCCAGGATGGAGCAGTGGCATGCTCGTGGCCACTGCACCTCCGCCTGCTGGGCTCCGGCGATCCTCATCTCAACCTTCCAAGCAACTGAGCTATAGGTGCAAGCCACCATGCCCAGCTAATTTTTGACTTGCTGTAGAGACAGAGTCTTGCCCAGTTGCCCAGGCTGGTCTCCACCCCTGGGCTCGGGCAGTCCTCCCGTCTCCACCTGCCAAAGGCATCCCTTTCGTTCTCTTTTATGGCCTCACGGAGTTCTCGTGCGGATGCGCTGCAGCACGTTCAGTCAGGCTCCGCAGGGGTTGTGCCCTTTTGCGCTCCCACCAGCGACGCATGGAGATGCTCGTATTCCCTGAGCTTTGCCAACAAGTGTGACGCTTTAGGTGTCTTGCCAGTCTTGATAAGCAGGAAATCTTATTCTAGTGTCGTGTTGATTTGCATTTCTCTTTGTACATGAGGCTGGGCTTTTTTCATGTTTATGAGTCAGTCATACTTTTTTTGTGAATCCCATGACATTTGCCCATTCGAAAACTGGGTTGTTTGTCGTTTTCCTGTTGGCATTTTGTTCATTCATGCATATGTCTATATATATATTTTTTTCCTTTTTTAGTTGGGGTCTCACTCTGTTGCCCATGGCTACTGCAGCCTCTGCCTGCTAGGCTCAGGTGATCCTTCTGCCTCAGCCTACCAAGTTGCTGGAACTACAGGCATGTGCCACCAACGCTGACTAATTTTTTTGATTTATTGTAAAGATGAGGTCTCACCGTGTTGCCCAAGCTGGTCTCAAACTCCTGGGCTCAGGCAGTCCTCTCACCTCCCCCCACAAAGTGCTAGGATTACAGGCATGAGCCACTGTGCCTGGCCCCTTTATGTATTTATTAGGAATGCATAGCCTGTGATATTCATTCTGAGTTTACCTTTTCACTTTACTTAGGGTGTTTTTGTTTTTGTTTTTCCCCCATCAGAATTTTAAAGCTTTCATGAGTCGAATTCACTGATCTTTTCTTCTGGACTTTGACTTGTTAAAAAGGCATTCCTAGACCAGGGAGATCTTAACCGCTACAAAGCTTCAGATATTACACAGGCCGAGTATCTTATCCGCACCAGAAGTGGGGCCAGAAGTGTCTCGGATTTCTACTTTTTTTCAGATTTTGGAATAATTGCATATACTTAGAGGTAGAGCATCCCAACTTCAAAATCTGAAATCTGAAATGTTCCAGTGAACTTTTCCTTTGAGCAGTATGTTGGCACTCAAAGTTTCAGATTTTGGAGCATTTCGGATTTCCAGATTTGGGATGCTCAACGTGTAATGCAAAGTTTTGTGAATGTGTGCTTATATGATTTTTCTGGAAAGATAATTTATGACTTTTAATCAATTTCTGAAAGAAGCCCATGATCCAAAAAAGCTTAAGACACCTGGTAAAGTAAGAAAATGTATTTGTATTTTCAAAAGTACTATAACAAATTAATTTGACTGTTTTCTGTTTCAGACTCTCTTGCATGAAATGATACATGCCTATTTATTTGTCACTAATAATGATAAAGACCGGGAAGGGCATGGTCCAGAGTTTTGTAAACATATGCACCGCATCAACCGCCTGACTGGAGCCAATATAACGGTATGTGAAGCCGCACGTGTTGATGATATTTAGCCCTTCCTTATGCAGTAATGCCTGGGATTTAACTGAAAATAGAGAACTAAGTAGAAACAAATGCTATCTTTGAGGATTTTCGTCAGCAAGCTAGAGGCTTAGAGGAGCGAATTGGCTTGTCTAGGACCACACTGTAGAATGACATCAGAAACGGCAGTATGCCCAAAGGCCCCGACCTCCCCTGGGGCCAGCGTCTTATGCATAGTTAATTCAGGCTGGGAGTACCTCTCTTCTGGACTCTGCAGTGATCTCGTAACTTTGTTTCCTTATGACAGTCACCCTCAATCTATCCTGTGTAAACAGTCTTTGCTTCATAGCTCTGCATCGCATTGTAGGAGGTAGCAAAGCCTGGGGTTCGCATCACTTATGTTCAAATCCTGGCGTCCCACTGCTTATTACCCTTGTGACCTGCTTAACTCTTCCATGCCATGTCTTACTTGCATGGCAGTGGAAGGTAACAGCAATCCCTATCTGTAGGATTCTTGTGAGCAGAAATGATTAAAGGAGAAGACATGTGCGAAACATTGTGGCACAGTTTGAGCACAGATTAAATGTTAGTTTTTATCATGGTTGCATTTGTGCTGTTTAGTGAACTTTTTCCTTTTTTCCTGCCTCCCACAACTCCCCTGCTTGAATCCTGTGTTTGTCTTATTTATTTTTGTTGGTCTATACTGGCTGTACATATTTTGGGGATACATGTGATAATTCGAGTCATAATCTCCGCTACTTTTTAACTGAACTTTTTACCTTCTTGCTTTCCTCATCTGTATCCTGCTCTGTAAAGTGTGTCACTTCTTGTTTTATGTCAGAACGCTGATTTTCCAAATGGGGTATGCCTTTATACCTTCTCCCTCCATTGATTCCTCTCAGCAGATAAAAGATTTTGCAGGTTTTTGTTCTGCTTTCATACTTCTGAATACAAGGTCACTCTTACTCATTTTTTTATACATCTGTATAAAATACATAATGTAATGTCCTTACATGGGCTTAGCAAATATTGAATTGAATTGAACTGAATGGAATATTAATTCCTACACAGATTAAATTCCTTGGTGTGTTTGGGTTTTGGTATATTTGGGTATTTACTTTCCTTGTAAAGGCCAATGTGATGGAAAGTGTTCACCCTTCAGATATTACTTTCTAGCTAACCGTTTTAATTTTCTAAAGCCCTCACTTAATTGTTGGTTACAGTGAGTTACTTCAACATCAGGAAAGTGGCATGCATTTAAAAAAAAAAATCAGCTATAAACATTCAGATTAAGGCTGGGTGCAGTGTCTCACACCTGTAATCCCAGCACTTTGGAGGGTGAGGCAGGAGGATTGCTTGAGCCCAGGAGTTTGAGACCAACCTGGGCAACACAGCAAGACCGCGTCTCTGCAAAAAATAAAAAAAAAGTGCTAGGCATTAGTCCCAGATGCTAAGGAAGCTGAGGTGGAAGGATCACCTGAGCCCAGCAGTTTGAGGCTGTGATTGTGCCACTGCACTCCAACCTGGGCAACAGAGCGAGACCCCGACTCCAAACAAACAAACGATTCAGATTAGCAAGAGAATTATGGAGTTCCTAGTATAAAATACTTTTAGTTTCTTTACTAGAATTTACGCTTTAAGCAAAGCCATGATTTACTTTCCACTGTTGAGTTGGAAGCTATTGTTTTATCTTGTATGTCTGTATTTTAGGAGAGGTTTTATAGAGTAAACACCCCGTGCTTTCACAGGTTACATCCTGTTATAATGAACTCCACAGGGTTTCTACTTTCACAATTTAGAGCAGTTTTATTTTAGTGACTACAATCTTGAGTCACATTCCTAGGCAGTAGGAGTTCCAGGAATTGGAAGCAAAATAGATCCAATTCCCTTTTTTGCTCATTGTTAAGTGAAGAGTTCTGAACATGATAGCAGAGGGTATCATATACCTCTTTGCCCCAGAACCTATGTTAGCCCCTTCTGCATCTAATACAATGTGCATTATTTGCATGTTTGCCAAGTTATAGACTTTTTTTTGCTCATAATGGAGAAATAGCATATAACTAACTATAGAGTGATAGAAAGCGTAACATTCTTTCCCACTAGGGGAATTTATTAGAAAGTCAAATAAATGTCTTTGATTAAAAATAACTTCACATACAGATGTCCCTTATTCTTAGACATTTGTGTAAGAAAGTAATGTTCCCCTGAGGCGGCAGAAGAAGGTGTGCCTAGTCATTTAGGAGTAGCGTTGTTAAAATGGTGTTCTGGAGTCCTCGGTGCCGCTGTGCTAGGGGAGCTGACCCTCTTTCAGTCACGGCTTCTCCTTTATCTAGTGTCTACTTAGAGTCTAAGTAAAAGTTTAATTAGGGGGTTAAAAAAAAAAAGCATCCTGCTTTAAGACTTCCAGAGAACTTTCCTCATGCCATGCACTATGTTAGCCATCTGGGACACAAAAAACGAAAACATTTGAATCCTAGAGAACTGTTCAGTTTGGTAAGAGAAATACACTTATAAACAGATGTTACCCCATAAGGCATGTTACAGAGACATGAGCAAAGAGCTTTGAGAATGTGAGAGTGAGTTTGGGGTAGGTTGCTTGTGTTGTTAGGGTCAAACATTTGTAGGAAATAGTTTAGTTCTTCAGAACCCTTTAATATTGTTACTTATGTGGAAAATTTCATTATAGCAGTGGGAATCATTCTTTGTTGTTTTTGAGACAGTATCTGAATCTGTTACCCAGACTGGAATACAGTGGCATGATCATGGTTCACTGCAACCTTGATCCCTGGGCTCAAGTGATCCTTCCACCTCAGCCTCCTGAGTAGCTGGGATTATAGGCATACACCACCATACACAGCTAATTTTTGTATTTTTTGTAGAAATGAGGTTGCTTAGGCTGATCTCAAACTCCTGGCCTCAAGCAATCCTCCTACATCGCCTCCCAAAGTACTGGGATTACAGGTGTGAGACACTGTACCCAACATGGAATGAGTCTCACTCTGTCACATACAGATGTCCCAGGCTGAGCCTTGACCTGCTGGGCTCAGGTGATCCTTCCGCCTCAGCCTTCCAAGTAGCTGGAACCACAGGCATGTACTACCATACCCGACTAATTTTTTGATTTAACGTAGAGACAAGGACTTGCTATGTTGCTCAGGCTGGTCTCGAACCCCTGAGCTCAGGCAGTCCTCTCACCTCCACCTCCCAAAGTGCTGGGATTACAGGCTTGAGCCACCGCACCCAGCTGGAATGATTCTTATTTATTACAGTGTTATATAAAATTTTATCTGTATCCTAATTTTTGACTACTTTAAAATTTGGCTTCTGGAACTTTTAAGCATTCATAGATTTCTGTGGTTTTTTTTTTTTTTTTTTCTTTTTTTCAATTTTTTTTGTCTTCTACTTTCACGTGCTTGTATCGTTAAACAGTTTAGGAATTATTAAGTAAATTATTACTGTTTCCATTAAAATGGACTTTTGAACAAAAACTAAATATAGTTGCTGTCTTTTCCAAAATAATAACTTTTAGAAAGCTCTGGAAAATGGAAAGTTTCAAAAATTAAAAATACTGCTTATATAACATGTTTTGTTAATATTGTTAACTTGCTTATGAAGACTAAAAAGTTTCTCTCAACCCAGGTGTATCATACCTTTCATGATGAGGTGGATGAGTATCGGCGGCACTGGTGGCGTTGTGATGGACCATGCCAGTACAAACCACCATATCATGGCTATGTCAAACGTGCTACCAACAGGGCACCCTCTGCTCATGACTATTGGTGGGCTGAGCACCAGAAAACCTGTGGAGGTACTTACATAAAAATCAAGGAACCAGAGAACTACTCAAAGAAAGGCAAAGGAAAGACAAAATTAGGAGAGCACCCAGGATCAACTGTAGAGAATAAAGGTATCTTCATGTGTATTCTTCCACCTTTTCTGTGACCACAGCTACAATATAAAGACAATATTGTCGCTTAGAGAACTGGTATTAAGGTAAGCTTAAGGATTATTTATAGATGTTTTCATGTGTAGTCTTCAGAAAAAATCCTGACTGGGTGCAGTGGCTCATGCCTATAATCCCAGCACTTTGGGATGCTGAGGCAGGAGGATCACTTCAGTCCAGGAGTTTGAGACCATCCTGGGCAACATAGTGAGACCTTGTCTCTGCAAAAAATTCAGAAAATTAGTTCGGCACGGTGGTACACACCTGTAGTCTCAGCCACTCAGGAGACCGAGGCAGAAGGATTGCCTGATCCCAGAAAACTGAGGCTGCGGTGAGAGAGCGAGACCTCAACTCAAGAAAAGACGAAACATCCCATTGTCTGTGAAACGGTGGTAGGAAAATGTGCTTTGCTCTGTATAGAAGTGAGTAAATGTAGGAATAGTTTCCACTGATAATATTTGAGGTAAAGTCCCTTTCCTTATCTTGACTCACCGAGTTATTAGGAAACAGAAGGCAAAAAGATTGTCAAAAATAAAAACAATAATTCAAGTAACAATGCCTGGAATGTAAGTCCTAACTACACCCCTTCCGATCAGTTGGACTCTGTCCAAGTGACTTTTACTATTGATGCATGTATGTTCATTGGGAGAAGAATGGGAAAAGGATATGACATATATCGGCCAGTACTTTGTTTTCAAGGTTTACCCCTTTCCTGGGAAGTTCAGAGTTACTGTCTTTTGAGGAGGTCACCAGGCTACTGAAGTCGATGCGTCTTCCCTGGGGAAGCTGCTGATTTGATGTGGTAGGATCCAGAAGCATAGGTCATCTTTTGCAAATCTGGAATGGTCAGTACGTCAGGGAGTTGGAGAAGAATGCATGGGGAGAGACTCGTCCTCCTTTGTGTGAACAGGAGGAAAGATAAGATTGAGCAGCAAGTTTTTCCTTGTACAGCTACACATAAAGGAAACTAAGCAGTTTTCACGGTAAACTGTGTTGTTATTGGTCTTTGGCATAATAGGATCCTGTCTCTGTATGTGAGGTTTTTTTATCCTTTGTGTCCTGACTTCTGAAGATTATATTTCTCTCATTAATAGGTAACTATTGCATGTTTCTAAGTTAGAATGAAATGTTATTTCTTCGTTTTTGAGAAAACTATTCAGTAGCTTAATACTTGTTACCATGTTTGAGTTGAGGAAATATCTTATTTGCTTCTTTTGCAGATAAACCCAACAGAGGTGGGACACAGCTGTTAATCCCTTTTAGTGGGAAAGGATATGTTCTAGGGGAAAGAAGCAGTTTACCTTCATCTGGGAAAGTGATCATCTCACATGCCATTGATAAGACCTCAGATCTTTTAAGTCAAAACCATTCAGCAAATGCTTTAAGATCTAATTCTCAAAATGAGGTGAAATTTGAACAGAACAGTTCAAATAAAAAAACTTCACATCTAGTCTCTCCTGTTCTTAGTACTGGTCACCAAAATGTTTTAAGCAACTACTTTCCTAAAGTATCAGTTGCCAACCAAAAGGCTTTCAGGATTGTGAATGGATCTCCGAGGGAAAGTATAACAGTTGGTGGCATTACTAAAAACTCCATCTCTTCTAGTTCTCAAAGCAGGGTTACATCGTCGAGGGTGTCCATAAGAAATTCTTTAAGAACAGGGGAATCAACATCTGTGACTCCCTCCCAGGACGCGAGTGAATCTGAAGATGCGTTCCCAAATAAGCGACCCAGGCTAGAAGGCAAGACTGTTTCCGACAACTTCTTTGTCAAGAAAAAGCAAATGCAGAGTGGTGATAATGACCCAAAGAATAGTTCGTGTCCTGCAACCACTGTTCAGAATTTCAACAGTTCATCCAGCCAGAGCAAAATGGTTAGTTGCCCGGTTTGCCAGGATGAAGTTTTGGAATCTCAGATTAATGAACACTTGGACTGGTGCCTTCAAGATGAGAGCCTCAAAGTCAGAAGCTGAAAAAAAAAATCTTTGAAAAGTGAATGAGTCCCATGTACCTGTGTTACCTCTCTGATGTGCTGTGTCAACCTGTCAGGAAGTTCTGTTTAATTCTGAGATTTGTAGGTTATAATCTAGCTCACACAACCAATACAAAGTGTTTTATTTCATATGCACATATATAGGATTCTAATGAAAGACTTTGTGTCTCAAGGTGCTTATATTCACTCTTGCCTTATGTATATACCGTAGCCCAGGGTTTTTTCTGCTTATATAAATGTATACTTTTTAGATACTTCTTTCTTTTTAAATCTGTGGTTAAAGGTTTTAAAATCTATTAATCTTTTTATTTGTATACATTCCTAAAAATATTTGTATGAAGAATCCTGTCAGCTATTTGGTTAAGTTGGATATCTCTTTGTTAATATTATAACTGATTCCCTTCATAATGGTTAACTGGTAAACCTTCATATTGTCAGACACTGAGCAAAAACCCAGTCTAGAGTACAAAGTTTATGAGTTGTTTTAGGATATTCAGCGTTTTTTGCTTTTCTGGGTTTTGTTTTTTGTAAAATCTCAACAGGAAATATATTTTCTATATTTTAAAGAATTCTATTTCTCTGTTACCTTTACTAAATGGTGGCAGTGGGTTTTAGAGATTTTAGGTCAAAGTAGATATGGAATATAGTAAAATACGTAAATTTCCTTTGGAATATTACTAGTAACAAATGGCCCTGTGATTCTGCAGGCCAAATTTTGAATTGAATTTAGCTGTTTTCTTAAATTTAGCAAAGTGAGTGGTTACAATTCAGTGTGATCAGTAACTTTAACAAAGTATAACATAACAAAGTGGCCTAGCTTATATAACAGTGGAACGTTCTCTGGAAACAATATTGTGAACCTTACACCAAAGTTGAAACCATTGTAATAAAATTGTCATTTGTGCATATTTTAAGAGAGAGAGAGAGAGAGAGAGTGTGTGTGTGTGTGTGTGTGTAAATGTTTTCCATGTTATATGGAAGGGACAAAGATACTTTGAGTTTACTTTTAGTCTCATGGCTGTACCTCCTGCATTTGGCACAGTCCCAAGGACTAAGTTGTTGACAAATTTACTTTTTTCCTAACTTCGTTGCAATATGGGTGACAGATCTTAAGCGTACAGCTGGGTAACTTTTACATAGTGTTCACCTGTGTAACTACTACCCAGGTCAAGTTAGAGAACATTTCTGTTGCCACAAAAGGCTTTCTATCAGTGCCTGTTCTCACTTGATACCCACCAGCCTCATCACCCACCGAGTCACCACTATTTTCACGTCTGTCAGCACAGATCAGCCTGTTTTTGAACTTCATAAAGTAGTATCTTTGTTGCTGTGTGTAGCAGAGGTTTGTTTTAATTGCTCCGTAGTATCTGTATGAATATACCAGAATTCTTTTATCCATTCCAATGTTAATAAGCATTTAAGTTATTTCCAATTTGGGGTTTTTAAGAATAATGCAGCTAAGGACATTCTTATTCATTTCAGTTGGGTATATATCCAGGAGTGGAGTTGCTGGGATACAGGGTATATTTATGTTTAGTTTTAGTAGATACTGCCAGTTTACACTCATACCAGCAATGTCTAAGAGTTTTAGTTGTTCATTCTTGACACTGTTACCAATCTTTTTCAGGTTGGATATCTGGTTGGGTGTTTACAAATTTTGATATTCGTTAAAGCATGACATTAAATAATAGCATTCAATAAATAGTTATAATGGCTGTTAAAATGTGTGTTATGTTCACTATTTGTAGTTATACTTTATTATAGAGGATCGTTTTTTTCTGTAAATAAATTTAACAAGTTTGTGCAATTAAATATTTTTTGAGCCCAAACGGCACAAGGTTCTGGTGCTACAAAGTGACTAAGATGGCCCTTGTCGTCATGGAACTGAGGTGAGACAACAGCAGGTTAACCTGAGTGTAGTCTGTAGGCGCTGTGATGACAAGGGCTTCTGCCAGGCGCTGTGGGAAAACTGGGAAGGACAGTTAGTACTGCCCAGGCTTGAAAGGATGTTTCTTGGAGGAGGCAGCATCCCAAGTTGAATCTTCCAGGGTGAGTCAGGTTAGCCTGATTAAAGAAAAGTTTTGGAAGGGGCCTTACGGAGAAGGAGCACAGGTGCATGGAAACGCTAGCATGCGCTAAGGCGGTGATCAGCTGTTTGAAATGAATAGAGTGTCAAGTGTGAGGGGCAAAATGGCAGAAAAGAAAGACTGCAGTTGGGACAGATCTAGCGAGGTAGAATTTTCAGGGCAGGGGCCACATCATGTTCTCCAGTTTATGTCTGGCTTGTGAGGTGCCTGTTGGTTCAGGGGAGAACTGGAAAGGGTCATAAGCCAGTCAAGATGTGTTGAGAAGTGCTCTTCATGAATTCTGGGGACAGCATCGATGGGAGGAGGAAGGGCAGTGGCAGGGACCAAGAGGAGGGGTTTGAGAAACAATCAGGCAATTAAGTCAGATGCACATGTCAGGTTCCAGGGAATGATGGAAATCTGAGATAAGCCTTTTCTTCGTTTGTGTTAAAACACTTGAGAAAAATTGCACCCTAAGAATTCTGTTACTCGCCCACATCAGAGGCATTTATATTACAGGAATGAAATCGTTTTCTGTTTGTTTTCATTTAGGCTATTCCTTTTAAAGCAGATTTCCTCTCTCAATATCAGAGCTGGTGATTCTGGTTCAACCTGTACGTGCTGTTGCTGCTCATTGTGGGGAGATGGGGTTATAGATCCTGTTTTTAGAAAAACCATTTTTAAAAGTTACGGTTGCACATTACCTTGGACAATTAACTTTAGAAAGTTGTGTTTCGCTTTTGTGGACTATACATGCATATTCTAACTGGAAATTCTATGGTGGGTGGGAAAATCCTAGGATTAAAAACTCATAACGTCCCATTGTCCCAGAACACGAAGGTTGTATTTTTTTCAAGGCTCATAGGATTTTTAAAAATAATGTCGAAGTGAAACAGAAGATGTGTCTTCCAGCAAAACTATGTAGCTAGAACCCTATGCCTGTGACTTTGTGGTATCTTAGTGCTTTGTGTGTGTTTTAATCCTGGTATGTAGTAATCCTGAGCCAATGGCTTCCTTTTATTCTTTGCCTCACTTTTTTTTGTCCCTGAGTCTATTGGCTTTTTAGCAATTTGTTGCAGTTGTTGACTGTCAGAGTATCTAACCAAGTGAAGGGAAACCTTAATGTGACAATTCTTACCAAGTAAAGTGACCAGAAATTAGCAGAAAAGGAAGAAATGTAGAGATTATCTCTGGCATTCCATTATTTTTACTAGTATCCCACAGAATGTTGGAAGTTATATGATGACACACTTCATCATCACGTATCTTTTGAAATGAAAAGCAGCACTTTGGGAGGCCGAGGTGAGAGGATTGCCTGAGCCCATGGTTCGAGACCAGCCTGGGCAACTTGGTGAGACCTTGTCTCTACAGTAAATAAAAAAATTAGCTGGGCGTGGTAGCACGTGCCTGTGGTTTCAGCTACTTGGGAAGGCCGAGGCGGAAGGATCGCCAGAGCCCAGCAGGTCGAGGCTGCGGTGGCCGGGAGTGTGCCACTGTACTCCAGCCTGGGTAGCAAGGTGAGACTCCGACTCGGGGGAAAAAAAAGAATTGAAAAGTAAAAGACTTGAGGATTTTTTTTTTTTTTTTTGAGTTGGAGTCTCACTCTGTCGCCCAGACTGGAGTAGAGTGGCCGCTCCCGGCCACCGCAGCCTCGACCTGCTGGGCTCCGGCGATCTTTCCGCCTCGGCCTTCCAAGTAGCTGGAACTAGACTTGAGGATCTTAAGTGACTCTGGAACCGTGCCATTATTAAAATTTCCAACACTGTACACTTGCATAGAAACAAGTTGCTGTTTGCTTTCTTCCTTCAGTGCTGGTGCTAAATCTACCAAGATTTAGCCTCTTGTTTACTGAACACTAGAGGGAGCCCTTGGTAAGCAAAATTCTGTGAAATCTTTGGAGGCTGAGGAAAGCCAAGTGGGTAAGAGAAAGAAACTTGCTGACAACTGGAACACGAATTGCCAGTTCTGATTCATACGTACGAAAGAATAGGTTATGATCTCAAGTCCTGTGAGGGAACACAGCAAGCAAGGAATGTGTGCTTGTACAAACAAACAAAGGCTGATCTAAAGGGCACCATAATCTCCCTAAACTTGTTTTCAAACATTTCAGTTTTCACTCAACACGCAACAGTCTTCTCCAAGGACCCAGATAGGCAAAACGTGATCAGGCTCGGCAGGAGGTGTTCCAGACAAGGTAAGACCTGTGCTTTTATACTATTTCATAAATTATAGTACTCTTCCTTTGAATATGTCTAACACTTTTCTCTTTGCCCTAGTTCATCTAGATTAGTCTGGAAGCTTCCTAGGACATAAATTATATCTTTTGCTCCTGGCTTAGAAGTCTAACAGAGTCAACAGGTACTTTTTAGATTCTTGGTGTTAAGTGAATGACAGGATCAGGCATTTCTCAAGTTCGGTGCTTATGTGCCTTTGCAAAAACATCTTGGCCGGGCTTGGTGGCTCAGCCTGTAATCCCAGTGCTTTGGGAGGCCGAAGTGAGTGAATTGCCTGAGTCCGCGGGTTCGAGACCCACCCGGGCAACTTGGCAAGACCTCATCTCTACAATAAATCAAAAAATTGTCTGGGTATAGTAGCGCACACCTCTGGAAGGCTGAGGCAGAAGGATCACCTGAGCTCAGCAGGTTGACGCTGGGGTGGCCGTGAGTGTGCCATGGCACTCAAGCCTGGGCGACAGAGTGAGACTCCAACTCAAAAATAAATAAATAAGATAAAACATACAATCCAATGCTTATAAAAAGAAAATCTGGATTTAGCCTGGGTGCAGTGGTTCACACCTATAATCCCAGCACTTTAGGAGGCTGAGACGGGGATCACCTGAGCTTAAGAGTTTGAGACCAGCCTAGGCAACATAGTGAGGCCTTGTCTCTACAAAAAATAAATCAGGCCAGGCTCAGTGCCTCAGCCTGTAATCCCAGCCCTTTGGGAGGCGGAGGCAAGTGGACTGCCTGAGCCTGCGAGTTCGAGATCAACCCAGGCAACTTGGTGAGACCTTGTCTCTACAATAAATCAAAAATTAGCCAGGTGTGGTAGCACGCGCCTATAGTTCCAGCTCCTTGGAAGGCTGAGGTGGAAAGATTGCCGGAGCCCAGCAGGTCAATGCTGGGGTTGCGTGGGCATGCCACTGCACTCCAGCCTGGGCCATGGAGTGAGACTCCAACTCAAAAAAAAAAAAAAAAAAACATTAGTTTGTGTAGTCCCCGTCCTCAGTCCGAGAGGCTGAGGCAGAAGGATCACATGCACCCAGGCGGTCAAGGCTGCAGTTGAGCTATGACTGTGTTATCACATTTCAGCCTGAACAGAGTGAGACCCTGACTCAAAAAAAAAGAAAATCTGGATTAACCTGGGAGGGTACTTGTTAAAAACAACAAATCCCTGTCTTGTGCAGTGGCTTGCATGGCAAGGTTGCTTGAGGCCAGGTGTTCGAGGCTGCAGTGAGCTGTGATCACACCACTGCACTCCAGTCTGGGCCACAGAGAAAGAGCCTGTCACTTAAAAACAAAACAAAAAGAAGACACCTTATAGGATTCTTTTACATATTTGCATACCTTTAAAATAATTCGATAAGTTTGTGAGTATATATACACATATACACATGTATAAATGGCTTCATTTATAAAGATGAGCCCACACTTACTTGTTCAGTGGCATTCTTAACACTAAGTAATCAAAGAGCCACTGTCATGGGATCCCCAAGCAGAGGCTGGAGTCTAGCTTCTCAGCGTGACACGTCCTCTTTTTATAAGCATCGGATTGTGTGTTTTCTTTTTATAAGCATCGGATTGTGTGTATGTCTCCTGTCCAGCCTCGCTGCTGTGCCAGAGTCACTGTGTGGAAGTTCCTCTCCATGCATACATGTGTGCGTGTGAGTCCCTCCCACTTGCTAGCACTTCGTAACTGTTGTTTTCTTGGCTGCTTCCCTGCTTTCTTTCAGTGCCCTTCAGCATATTTTCGGTTGAGCGTATTCCTCCCTGGCTACCCTGTAGCTAAATCTTTTTTTTTTTTTTTTTTTGAGTCGGAGTCTCGCTCTGTCGCCCAGACTGGAGTGCAGCGGCCGCTCCCGGCCACCGCAGCCTCGACCTGCCGGGCTCCGGCGATCCTTCCGCCTCAGCCTTCCGAGTAGCTGGAATTACAGGCGCGCGCTACTATGCCCGGCTGATTTTTTGATTTATTGTAGAGATGAGGTCTCGCCAAGTTGCTCAGGTGGGTCTTGAACCCACGGGCTCAGGCAGTCCACTCACCTCAGCCTCCCAAAGGCGCGGGTTTACAGGCTGAGCCACCAAGCCCGGCTGTAGCTAAATCTTAATGAGAGATCACTGTCTTCTTCAGTTTCTTTTCTGAGTTACATTTACCCCTTGTTCCGCAGCTTTCTGGGGTTGGTTCCTTTCTGTTGTAAGATTTTGGATTTCTAATTTCCGATGTTAATTTTTCTTTCAGAGGCCGATTTGATTCAGACTAGATGCTATGGTTTTCTGCCGCCTTATGGTTGGTACTTTTAATTGGCTATCATTGAGTCTCATTTTTTCTTATGGTGGCATTTATGAAACATTATCCTATTTCTGCTCATTTCATAAGGTTTTGTTTTCCTTGATTTGCAAAAATAGTGGGTTCTCTGTAGGCAGGGGCAAGGGGTTTGGGGGACTTACTCGATTCTTTGATTTGAGTGTTCTCCTCTATAGGTAGAGTGGAAAGCACTTTCTCAGAGATGACACTCTTTTGGTCAGGGAAGTAGTAAGAGTTGAGGTCTCTTGATTCTGCAGTTCCTTTTTTTTCCTTCTGTGGGACTCTTGCTTCCTTCTGTCACCTACCATCAAGTCTGAGAGACATCTCCTACTCTCCAAAATCAGCTACCTTCTCCCAATGGCCGCCTTAAATCGTGGGCACCTTTAAACTTCCTCTCTGGCCGGGCTCGGTGGCTCAGCCTGTCACCCCACGCTTTGGAAGGCTGAGGCGAGCAGATTGCCTGCGCCTGTGGTTTCAAGACCAGCCCGGGCATCTTGACGAGACCTCATCTCTGCAGTAAGTCAAAAATGAGCTGGGCGTGGTAGCACGCACCTATAGTTCTGCCTACTGGGAAGGCTGAGGCGGAAGGATCGCCGGAGCCCAGCAGGTGGAGGCTGTGGTGGCCAGGAACGTGCCACTGCACTTCAGCCTGGGCAACAGAGCCTGCCTCCAACTGAAAAAAACCAGAAATCCACTTCTTCCTGTCTCGACATCCCAGTGGCCAGGGTTTGGGTGCATCGGTGTCAGGCTTACCAGTGTTTTCATCACGCGCTGTAGGGCCCCTGGCTTTCTCCCGGGTATTCCACTGGTAGGCGCCCACTGTCCTCGTCTCCTTGCCACACGTTTTCTGCCTGGCTCTTGGCCCTCGTGAGGATTCTGATGCTGGCTCTAGATTCTGATGCTTATTCCTCTGCTTATTTCGATGTAAGTTGAAAGATTTTCTGTCTCAGTTACGCTGTAGGCACAGGTGAAGGGTGACTGCTCTGTCTGTGTGGTTTTTGGAAGATTATGAAGGAGATTCAGACTTAGGCAGCAGCCAGTGTCCCTTAGAAAGCCAGAAGCCCAAGTGCCTCCCTCTCAAGTGTGAACACACAAGCAAGAATTACCAGGCATTTGAGGGAAAACTTGTAGCAAGGAGACAAAATTAGAACCAACAGGCAAACAGGTCAAACGGTGTGTCCACTAGAAAGGACGGGATGAGGCCAGGCACAGTGGCTCACACTTGTAATCCTAGCATTTTGGAAGGCTGAGGTGAGAGGACTGCTTGAACCCAGTTCGAGACCAGCCTGGGCAAGAAAGCAGAAATGAAGAAATTGGTGGGGTGTGGTAGTGCCCACCTGTAGTCCCAGCTACCCGGCTGGCTGAGATGGAAGGACGGCCTGAGCCCGGGAGGTTGCGGTGGTGGCGAGCCATGATCACCGTGGTCATGCCACTGCGCTCCAGCCTGGGCAAGAGGTGGGCTCTAACTACAAAAAAAAATCGTTTTTCAAAGGACAGGTTTTGGGTGTGTGCACCTATTTAAATAGAGAACTAGAAAACAGAAGTTCGCAGCTGGGCTCGGCGGCTCCGCCTGTCATCCGGCGCCTTTGGGAGGCCGAGGCGAGCGGCTTGCCTGAGCCCGCGGGTTCGAGACCCGCCTGGGCAACTTGGCGAGCCCTCGTCTCTGCAGGAAGTCAAAAGGTCAGCCGCGCG